AACTTCCATCGAACAATGGTTTCAGTGGCTGTGGTGGTGTAAGTAATGGATCCAGTTTGACTTTTCCACTTGCGCAGCACAATCCAGCCGTTTCTCTTTTGAACTTTAACGCATTGCAATATCGGCATATAGTCGTCATTGGTCCAATATCTAAGTTTGCATCATCACTGTAGTTCGCAGTGGGATCAGATTGGAATGCCAAGCGATTGTATGATGCCAATGATCTTCGTGTGCTCACGCGTTGTCTCAATCGGGCATTTTCACTTATTATATAATATTTTGTCTTTCTTTGCTTAAGTTCTGTGAATACACTTGTTGCTGGCTTGCATGCTTGTGCGGCGGCCGATGTTGGCACGTCGTCCTCTAGGCATTTTGGACTATGGATAGAGTGGTGAATTTAACCTCAAATGCACGCTCCACATAATTTATACAGTTCAACTTACCACCTTAAAGACAAATGCCTGTTGTTGAAATTGAATAAAAATTTGCACAATAAACGTGATTGATTTGATGGTTTCCAATTGAAGTGTTAGGGAACGAATAACTTATTTTTCACAATTTCACAGTGAACACAATACCGGTTTGTCACATGAAATTAACTGAGCAGAGAACAATGAGTAGCTGTCAAACAATGTATCACGCACCGGCGCCATCTACCTAAAATATTGGTTTGTAGTACATGCTATGTATCAGAGATGGCGCTGTATGTGAAAAAAGATTTTCCCGCTTTTCTGTTGAAATATTTCCTGAATTTTCTTTGCTATAAACCTCACGGACCCCGAGACCTTTCCAACGAATACAAAACCGTGGAAATCGGTTCGTGCGTTCTGGAGTTATAGCGTCAGGAAGGAAAACCCGACTTATTTTTATATAATAGATATACATATGTATATTATTAAAGAATAACAACATACAATAAATGCATATAGGCCCAGTGCAGTGATATAAAAGTATGCATTGATATAAAAACAAAATATATGTACACTTATATACAAATATATAAATGTAAAAATGTAGAGAACACACAAAACTCACCAAAGTTACAGTGCTAATATACATTGTATATCAACAAACAAATAAGCTTTTTAAACAAACAAAAAGCCACACAACCGGGCGCGAAACCTAAGCACAAAACATAAATAAGAAGAAACGGGCGCGAATTTTTAAACAAAAAACAACAATACAACATACCTCTAAGCAGCTAGAGAGGAAGCATAGGAATTGGCACAAAACGCACAGGCATATATATGTACAAACCTTATGCCCTACAAAGTGAGCGTCTTTATTTCATTTACTTATCGTATTTTATGCGCATATGTGTGTAAAGATTGCAGTTTTATATATTATTATTGCCCAATTAATAGCTTACCTTCGTGTATTCAAACACATTAATATATTCTTGTATATATTATAATGTAATAAATAATTATATATTTACGGTTATATATAGATAAATGTACGTTAACTTCTTATAGCAAAGTTATGTATGGTTGTTGTTGTTTTTTATTCTCTGTCTCTGTTGTTTAGTTTATATTTGCCTTTGCTCTTATTTAATCGCAATTCCTGTTATGCTTATTAAGCATAAGGTATTTGATTAATGTCAGTGAATACTGAATTGTTTTTTTCTTGATGATTGTTT